TCTAAACATTCAGAATTCTAAAATATGTCTCTCTCTCTCCATTATTTCTCTCCACTTGAGAAAACTCGATTTATGCAAGGTAGACTGTCGATCTTTCTTCCTGATCAAATAATGCAAACAATCAATTGAATTTGCAAATTATCCCAAGAATATGATCTAACTAAGGGGACAATCTTTCCTTTAAATACCGATACAAAACTCAATAAAGTAAAAAATTATATCACTCTTTCAAATACTTCAATTGACTGCACATAATGAGAAGCACAAGGGACTAGCATTGTAGATTGGCTTGTAAAAACAAATGATTGCAACATTGGAGGCTCGAATGAGACCGATAAGGAAACAATTCTGCTATATGAAATATAATTTTTATTCAAATGTGATGACCAGTCAAATAGATTATCTTTATGTGAATGATTCAAAAAAATTTCTTAACGTATTTAGGAAGCCAGGTTAAAGAAACATGCAAAATAGCACTTTTAAACTCTGAAACAAAAGCAAGCTCATAACTTTCATTAGAGTTTTATCTTAACATGAAAATTAGGAAATGGGATAGTAGAGGTTCGAGCTAACAAAATATGACGGTATAATGTAGGCAACAATTGAATGTCGATATGAAAAGTATGCAATCAAAAATGGCCTTGGAAAACGTGGCAACTCGGGGAGCATTATGCAGTTGAGGTAAGGTCACAACGAAGTCAATGTTAAAAGTCTCACAAAGGAGTAAGCAATAATATTTTCGGTACAAGATTGAGGAAACGTGGAATGTTTGGCTTAGATGACAACGCTATTAGTAATTCCCTATGTCGTGTTGAGTGTATTGACTAATGAAAGGAGACAATACACTGCTCTAAAGTCTTAACCTCTTTGTTAAGGGAGGAGACAACTGTATTATAATAATCGAAACAAACCTTTACAGATTTATAGATTGTGACAAAGGATTTGCCGGTCAGTGCACTTCTCAAAAAGTCATTCCATCACATTTATTGCAACAAGGAAAAGTTCCTTATTCTTTTTTTATACTATCCTTTTTCCTCGAGAGAGATTGCCATTCTTAAAAGTGTATAAAGAGATGCGAGTATGAAAACATGTGATTTGTCTACTTGTGAGAGCAACCCTCAATGTGTTCAAGTAAAAGTAGGAGTTCATTAAAAGATAACAAAGGTCGAGGCAGAAGCTTTTTCCATTTGTCAACAATTGTACTCCTAACTTTTGATAAGTACGCCACAACATTTTGAGATGTACTTTTTTTTTTTTTTTAAAAA